CTGATGATATCCACAAAATTGTTTCTATTTTTAATTAGATTATTCTTGAAAATATTTAACTGATTCGGACAAATGAGGTTCAAGTTTTCAAAGAACAAAGAGAAGATGAGTTGGTGTTACGATATATGTCAAATCACCTCTTGTTCATACACGTAAAAATGGTTGTCAATCGCCTCGAGCAGGTTTTTGAATACTTTATATATGTTTATCGATGTCTTTACCAATAACTTTCTTAATCTGATCTTGTATTGACACAAGTTCTGGTGTATTTAATATGGTGCTTCACACGTACTAGTTGCATAGTCAGAAAAAATAATTAAACTGCACTTGATACATGCACAATTATGCTTTCTTTCATTAGATTATCCGGTTTAAATACAATACCTATCGAAGACTATGCATTATCTCATATACATGTATGTGAGATAATTTACGTTTGGTGGTTTAAAAACACAAGTTTAAAATGTATTTAGTCAAATTAAAGAGTTATATCATACGTATCATGCAATCTCTCATTAAAATATATATTCTTCCCTTTTGATTTTGTCGAGGATGTATCTTGCAAACACTGAGAGCTGAAAACAAGAAGGCTATATACTTAAACCTTTGGATAAATTTACGCTAGTGTACAATAATTGTGCTTATAACTGGATATCAAACGCAGAAATAAAATACATGTATGCTAAGAAATGCAAATTTGGTCCTGGCCTCCAATATGGTTCTTACGGCGCCTTATCTCTGACGTTTTTCGGTCAAGATACAATAACAAAATATCTAGAATAGCATACATATGAACAAGAAACATTAGCTATTGTCAGCTATGTTTGATCCAAACATATGCATGGAACACAATAAAACATTTATCATATCACATGAAACAGCATACTAGTAATCACAGATAATGTATTCATAAATAACTTTAAATCCTATCAAAATGGAAGAAATAACGTATCATATCTCAAGTTTCTTAGTGATCCGGAATCCCCTACCTATGGAGGCCCACCAGACAAGACACTTAAGGTACATTTCATAATGAGAACAGAGTTGATATGCAATTAAAGTTAAAAAATAAACAAAATGCAGATAAGTAATATTAAGAAAAAGATACTCAAGAAGAAATAATATAAAAATGAACACTTGCATATCACACAAGCATGAATTACGACTAAAGTTTAAATCACTGTAGAGAAGAGTATAGTGCTAATTAAGCACAGAGTAACAACTGACAGAATGTACACTAATACAGTGTGAATTTAAAGGCGGTACTGAAATCGATGCTATCAATAAAAGAATAAATAACAAGAGGCCCAGAGGGCCTGTATTGCTCACCTGAATATTTAAGCAGTCATAACAAATTATTCTCATTAAATATTATATTGCAGTACAAATATTTCCCTCGCAAACTTTGTCATCTCCATCTGTGGAAACTCCCTGCCAACTATTATTATAAGATTCTATGCTTTTTTATTCTTCTTTAGACCGCTGCGACCCTGAAAGAAAGTCAAGATCATTTTCATTCTCAAACTTTGTTGGGCTCTATCCCAGGAAGTCAGAAGGCGCATATTATAATGTTATACCTTTCGATTATTCAGAAGATGTCATTTGATGTTTTTGACATATTTGACCCCTGTGACCTTAAAAGAAGGTCAAGGTCATTTTTATTCTTAATCTTTGCCGAGCTCTATCTCAGAAAACCATCAGCCAAATATGAAGATTCTATACCTTTTAGTTCTTCAAGAGAAGTCGTTAAAAGAGTTTGACATACTTGACCACTGTGACCTTGAAAGAAATCAGGGTCATTTTCATTTTCAAACTTTGTTGGGCTCTTTCCCAGGAAGTCACCAGCCAAATATAAAGATTCTATACCTTTCAGTTCTTCAGAAGAAGTCATTTGAAGCGTTTGACACATTTGACCCCTGTGACCCTGAAAGTAGGTCAAGATCATTTTCGTTCTCAAACGTTTAGGAACCATCCAAGGAAGCCACCAGCCAAATAGGAAGATTATATACCTTTAGTTCTTCAGAAGAAGTCGTTTTAAGTTTTTGACATATTTGACCCCTGTGACCTTGAAAGTGGGTCAAGGTCATTTTCGTTCTCAAACTTTGTCGAGCTTCTACCAACAAAGCTTTCAGCCAAATATCATGACTCTAGGCCTGTCCGTTCTTCAGGAGTAGTTGTTTAAAGAAAAAGTTGACGGACGAGTATGGACGACGGACGACGGACACCGAACCATGACATAAGCTCACTTGCCCTTCGGGCAGGTGAGCTAAAAATGAAAGGACACATGTTTCGTTCAAAAGTAACCTGGTTAGATGTGGCCGAAAAACCATCAAAAAATTTTGTAATTGAGAAACTTATAATTGTGTATACAAAACTATAATTAAAATTGAAAAAGATAATGATTGAGTTTCTAGATCCATCTAACATTATTGAGGTGTCATCTGTAAACTGTGAGAATTTAAAATCCATGCCTTTAAAATGTGTAATTGATCATTCTTATACCCAAGATATATCAATTAAAAAAAATCCACGCAAAAGAATTTAAAATATTCACATGTATAGCCATCAAAACACTTGGAATTTTCTACTCTTCGGAATTCATTGGGGAGACTGTTCCATACCACAGTGTTTATCTCTACAATATTTTCGTTCCTGATGTAAAAGTTTGATATCTTTATATTTACAATGTTCAGGGGGCTATTTAGTCATACAACACCATTAAGATCGATTTGATACTAATATATGGATTTCCTAACGAAAGTTAACACAGCTGATAATGACCTGAAACCAACGTCCAGTGTGGTCGGTGTTATCTTTGGGAAAGCCGGTGATAAATATAGCTACGACCGATATAGCGGAATATCCAGGCCTTTCAGCGAGACGTAAGCATGTACAGTATGTCGACACTGTCGACCGACATGGACACGTTACACATTCTTGCTGCTTTGAATTTACACAATACATCGCAAGCAAGAATTATAAGTATTTCATATGTAAATTTAATGAGATATTTCTGGTCACAGTTGTATTTTAATGGGGGGAAAAAGTTTAAATACAGTATGCACGCAACAGGGTATCGCGGGGAGAATTTCAACCCGTATAAAGTACCATATCGGTAGCTTAAATTTAAAATAAATTACTTATTCATAATGATGATGTAGAGATGTTGTTTGGATGATGCTATAATATTGATTCAGAACAAATGCCGGTACTTATTTTCTGAAGAAGTTAGATGAACAAAGAATTTACCTTCGAATTCTCCACGGCTGGAAATACTGATTTCACAGACAGGTACCACTAAAACGTACGGTTGCACAGCTAAGGATTTCTTCATTACTGAACAGGAAAGCCAAGAAAACATTGTCTCTTGTCAATTTCACGACATGTATTGTTCATAAGGAGTATCAGACTATATTTTTATGAATAGTTTTGTAACTAGATTATAAAAAAACTGACTTCACTAAATTGTCCCTTTAAAGCTATACTCAGGAGACACTTTGTGTATGATTTTAACAAATCTTACAACTCAAGTCTTTCAGGCGCCTCACATGTAGCCTTTTGCTATTGGCAATAATCATGCCTGAAGGATGAGTAGTGCTCATAATGTATAAACCTAAAAACTATTTCTTTTATCTTTTCCATCTGTCTTACACTTTTCAGTGAACAGAAATGCCAGACTAAGAGATAACAGTTCAAATTTAAAACAGTAAAGGAGTTATGAATCTAAATTCTAACATGTTAAGTTAAAAAAAAACCTCCCAACTCGCTTCAGAAAAGATAGTTGTCGCGATGGTCTTCTACAGATTTCTGATATGGGTACCTCATTATCAGAAACACGATCTGTCTCGTCTATACTAATAGACTGACTAGCATATACTAGCGTTTCCCTTCACAAATCACCTAGAATTTTTCAGAATTTGCGCTAAATTGGTTTAATTAAAACCAGTCTATTAATTTTTTACAGTCATTTCCAATATTGATTTTTAAGTACTTACATTTTAATCGTCTGCATGTTTATAAAGTTGAGACGACTGCACATATACAGTGTATCTTGTATCTTTAATTAAAACCTCATATCCTGAAACTGACAGGAGACGAGGTACTTGCCACAGGACATGTGCTCTCCCAGAGTTAATAGATACATATCCGGTTATTGTGGTGGGAGTGCATCTCCTCTGTGTGATCCCTCCTCGGTTCTTTATGTGGTCTTTTCTACCGACATTAAGTTATGATTTCCCCACGTGTATTGACGTTGTAGATTGTTCCTGTCAAACGTTATACATTTGATATTTCGTATCCATACATAATACATATACATACGTATATTGGATATCTTATAAAATCCGAAATTACATGAGATATCTTATTTGTTTTTCAGATACATGAACTACTTTTAAAACTTACTGAAAAATATTCCTTAATACAGAAAGGATAAAACATTCAATCGAATTCTATCAGTGCGAAACAATCTCCTATAAAAGATCAAAAATGATAGAGGATGGGCGTGCCCTGCGCAAGGGCGGACCTGTGTTGCATACAAGTAAAAATATTAAAACGTTGCAATCTATTTATTTTAGTGTAATGTGTAAAATGGAAAGTTTTGATTGGACTAACTGGAAACACATGTTTTTGTTTGCCACTCGTACGAGAAAAGAGATGGGCAAAATTATCTGCTTCCAGATCACGGTTTGTTGACTACATTATTAGTGAGACGTGTTGATTGCGTAGTTACCGACATTATAATGCATTACCTGGTAGCAGGAAAATATGAATATTTGTTTCCTGAAATATAATAAATAACAATAAACTTTCTCTATATCAGGGCAAATGATTCACCATGCTGAATAGGAAGCAACTTGACTTACTTTTTCCTGTACAATTTCATATATAAATATATGAAATGAGATAAACTCACTGACTAGGGGACTTTGCGTTATCCGTGCTTGTATATTTGTTTTGCTTGTGGCCTTGATTTCTGATGTCACTTGTGTTATTTTCAGCTATTTTACCTCATAGCAAGAGAAAAAATCCACAGGAAGACACGATGGAAAACCCACCAACATACGAAGGAAACACTGGCGCTGGGGCATCATACCAGGACCCATCTTTTGGTGGAAAAGAGCCGATCCCAGTCAGCACCAGGGACGTAGAAATGAATGGTAAGAGTTATAGCAAGGCGTTGTCATAATATTTCAAGTAAAATCGTTGAATATATTGGATCAAAATATACTTCAATTTCAAACTTCCGTATAACCTGGCTGAAATCAATACGTTACATTAAAATTATATTTTACTGTTATCTGGCTGACATCAATATGTTACATGAATATTATATTTTACTGTTATCTGGCTGACATCAATATGTTACATTATTATTATATTTTACTGTTATCTGGCTGACATCAATACGCTACATGATTATTATATTTTACTGTTACCTGACTGACATATTATAGTTAATTTTACCTGGCTGACATCAATACGTTACATGAATATTATGTTTTACTGTTATCTGGCTTACATCAATTTGTTACATGAATATTATATTTTACTGTTACCTGACTGACATATTATAGTTAATTGTTACCTGGCTGACATCAATACGTTACATGAATTTTATGTTTTATTGTTACCTGGCTGACATCAATATGTTACATGAATTGTATGTTTTAATGTTACCTGGCTGACATCAATATGTTACATGAATTGTATATTTTACTGTTACCTGACTGACATCACTAAAGTACATGAATAGTATATTTTACTGTTACCTGGCTGACATCACTATGTTACATGAATATTTTATATTACTTCTGCGGATAATTGTATATGGAATACTGATATACTGCAAATAGAGAATAGTGTTATTTTTGCCTATGAATAATATAAACGTCCTGTAAATCAATAAGAAACTGAGCAATACCTCCTTCTAATGAACATTTACTCAAACTGAAAAAAGTTATATTACATGCATATTTTGTTTTCCATAGCCTCACCACCAACTTATGATTCCTTATTTGGGAAACTGAAAGCAGCAAATGCAAACTCAGAAAATAAGGTCGGCTTCGCCAAATCGGCTATGGCTATCATATGTGGCTCAGGTATGTATGATCTTTTTTTTTTTTTTTTTTTACTTATCATCATCATAATCGGTCGTCGTCCATCCCTCTTGTTATCGCTATTTCTCAAGAAGATCTTTCAAATGAACAAGACGGCGGCCAGGCAGCCATCTTATATTTTGACGTCTCAGGATTGCCATCGTTAGTTCTGTTCTTAAGAGTTACTTGACAGATATTTGTCGAATTTCATATGAAGGTTCCACTTGATCCATTTAAAGTAGATGCTGGGTCTTGTACAAGTAATTCTTCATTTTCTGTAGTTTTATATATATCTTTTTTCGAGCTTCAAATCCCTTATTCCGAATAAAAAATGAGTGCCTGCCAGAAACAGAAAAGTAATTTGGTTTATATATTTTACACGAATCTATATTAGTTAATTACTTAAAAGACGTCTTAATCTTCAACGAACACTGTAAAAGCAAACTTTACCAAGTTCTCATCAAAAGTTATCACAAGATGCATTCCGTTGACAATACTATCAATCCATTCGGTAAGAGAAAAATAGAGCAAATGCATACAACCAAAGAAGACCTTACAATGGTGGGCGCCAAGATCCCTCTTTGGTTGATGGTTTTGTGTTCTGATGTTTATCTTAGGTGACTGGAGAGGAAGACATTCTCAGTTTAGAGATTATGTATATATTATGAAAATCCAATAGATTATGTTTCGCGACAAATCTCTTGGATATGCTTTTCTTAAATCATATGAACGTGTTTAACACCATGCTAATGATGCTGATTATAGATATTTATCATATCCTAAAATCCGTGTTTATTTACTATAATTCTTACAATGTTTTTTTTTTTATAATTTTTAATATTTACAATTGTTTAATAAACTTAACGTGCAAATATCATAGCTGAAATATCATTTTTTGTTTCAGTTATTTTCATCATATGCATCGGGTTCGCCCTGGCAATACCCATAGCAGAAATAGCCATCGGTAAGTGAGAAATATCCGTTTTGTTTTACCCAAAATTCTTTACCATGTAAGCATTTTGTTCCCTTTGACAAGATGAATTATGCATTGTTCGTTTCCATCAACACTCCTTGACAATCAATATTACATGTGGACAAGTTACATTTTACAAGGCATGACTGTATTGATTTTGGTAAAAATCAAACACACACAAAAAATAAATCTTTTTAAAAATAAATCAGAACTTGAAACATTGGAAAACCTCCTTTTTTACAATTTTGAACAGATAAACCAGTAAGTATTCAAAACAAAACTGGAACTACAAAACAATGTTCTCTTCTCCATTCTGCTGAAAAAATAAAAAATCAACAAAAGCGTTAATAAAATGGACATTCGAACTCAAAATCGATAAAATTATCACAAAATAAGAACAAGGGAATTAATCGCTTTAGAAATTTCTCCAGTATTTAAAGATGATACAACAAATGTTTCAAATATGTCACATCACATCATAACCTATAAATTGTCAATATTTCACCATTCGTATTTGTAAGATACATTTTATATGTTCACTTGCAAACAACTAATGCTTTAGTAAAAACGATTGAGGCGCTTTATATAACTGCTCTGACAGGGTGAATGACGCGAATGTAAACGAACATATATAACAACGACAGACGTACCATTTTCGGTGTGGAAAGGGCGGCCTCTTGAACACAATTCGCTATATGCCTTTTACTTTTGTAATATTCATATAAATGATATAATTTATGAAATATTTTAGAAGAAAAGTATTCGGATGATATAATACTTTCTATGTATTGACCTTTTAAGTATGTTAACGGGTGTACATCATGGAAAGTGGGTGATTAAGCTAGTTCAACCTCCATTACGTTAAGGACATGCTCGATATCTAGGGGTTACGCTCACGTACGCTCTCTGCATTCCTTGAATATGTCATAGCAATATTAAAGGCACAAAGATAGCTGTTTGATTGGTCTCAGGTAAAAAAACCTGACCAATTGCAAGGCTGATACCTGTCCTTTGAAGATTACAAAGGAGCGACACCCGACTTCAAAGTCAGTCAAATTTTACCGTTATGCGCCCGCGAGATTCTTTTGATGAACATCAAATGATCGAACTAGTTTTCTTGTCTCATCAACAAGGTGGTGTATACTGAGCCTTCAATTTTGCTATGATATATTCCAGGGGTACAGAGAGCGTAAGTGAGCATAACCCCTGGATATCGAGGATGCGTTCAGGAATGTTATAACTAATATAATGATATACATGTACATATACTCATATCACTTTCAACTGTGTCATAGATTCAATCGTCCATCGCACTTCCTATCGCCTTTTAGTAACATAGACAATTTGATAATGTTCTCTCTTATATTATTTTTTTATTTTTTTTATTTTGATAAATCACTATAACGTATTTTAAATTCTCTATGGCACTTTCAATGTTGTAAATTCGTAAATCAACATAACATATAAATAACATTTAAGTTTTGAGCAACGAACGATTTAACAAGAACCAAATTTTCATGACGGTATCAAGTGTGGTGAAACAACCGCTTATCCTTCAGGAACACCTGGTTGTGTACATTTTTTGTTATTGAGTGGCACCATGATGCTTTTTCTCTTTCATACCAAGCCTTTTTAATTATTTGCAGCAGAGATTTAAACAACTTTGATTTTTTATTTTCACATTATATTTTGATGCTGTTAAATTCCATTATTTTTTACCTTTTGCGAATAAGACCGAAAATTGTGTGCAAGTACTATGTAAGAAATCTATTCAAAGCAGTTGTACGATTCAATTTAAAACAAACGTTCGTCACTATAAATGATCAATTTTACTCTTAATAAGCTTGATTATCTAGATCTGTTAATTATCAACATACCTACTCGACAGGTGCGTCCTACCTTCACGACTGTCCAGCACAGCGATTGATACCTATCTACCTGATAGTGGCAGGCGTGTTCGGCACTCTCAAAGGACTCGGACTTATGGGCCAGAGCGTCAAATCGAGGAAAGAACAGACCGATGGCGCAGAGGCTGAAAACAATAAGACGACAAATCCCTTTGACAGCATTCTCAATCTCTTTTTGTTCGCGTGGTTTATTTGTGGTAAGTTATCTCCCTTTGTGAGTGTAGATTTACAAGTGTAAACCTATAGATGCAACGCCCGGACTTTATTAATTTTTCTTGTATTATTGCAGTAAAGAAAGAACCACCGTTATGTTTGTAATACTATAATTCTTGTTTGATAGAAAGTTTTTTCCAGATTATAATTCAATTATATGACGGTTACATCTTAATAAAACCGTTGTCCTTTTTCTGTGAAGTTTAATCGTTCTAGAGCTTTGAAAAAATCTAAAACTAATTTTGAAACTTTAATTGTTCGATTTCGAATCAATGACAGTTTCTGTCCAGTTTTATCTATAATTCCACATACCGAGGATTAGCACATATACAATGTATATATAAGCTATGCAATACAGTACCGTTGTACATTGCTTTGTAATTAGATAAACCACCGGCGTGTCTAATTGACAGTGTTCTGTTCTCATTACAATGTAAATAAATCTTCCTTTTTTTCATGCATGAAAAGTTTCCTGCCTTTTGTGACATAGGAAGTTTCTTTCTCACAGGAAATGTATGGGTGTATGGATTGAAAGATGAATGGGTGTCCTCGCCTACTACCGCTGGGAACTACTGTCACCCGACACTTTACTACTTCTCATTCTGGATCATAACCCTTGCTTACATCATGATGGGTGTCGGTTGTCTCTTCGGCTGTCTCATCACTGTCATCATCTGCTGTTTTGCTGCTAAGGGTGGTGGCGAATAAATTCACGTGACATGATGGTCCATATTTCAGGCACAGTTGTTCGGCTCAAGTAACTAGATTGTGAAACAACGGAATAACTCGGAATTATATATACAAATTGACAGGACAGTCAAACCGCTGGAATAGCCGGATTATAGGGACAAGAAAATCAATGGAACATCTAGATAATAAGGAAACCCATGTCAGTTGAACTGCCGGATTACTTTGTCAACTAGATAAGCGGGACAGCCGACTAAGTGTTGGAGAAATAAGGAAGCTTGATCGCATAGTTCACACAACAAAGACGTTCTGCGAAAAAAACCTCAGTTAAAAATCTTTTAAATGCATAGTTGTTTTTTGTTACATTGCCAAAAAAGGCAGAGGAGAAAGACAATGATTATTGACTTGATGTTCTAGAGATAACTCTCCATGAACAAAATGGGTTAGTGTACAATCATGAGCGTTGATATTACTCGCGCCATAACAGTTTAAGTAGCAGCATTATTCATACACAAGCGATTATTGAAGCCTAGGGTAAACATGTAATTAATGGTTAAACAATAATATGCTCGTTTCATTACCAAAGCAATGGAAACATGGTTGTGTTAGTACATTTATATATGCTAGTTAAATGTTACTTCTTAAGAGGTAACGGTCAACTCCTTTGACCAAATCACCGGTTAGCACAAACGAATGTAAGCCATAATTAAAGAAACTCTAAATTGAATCACAAAGTAATCTTTGGATGCTGTTTTTAAAGATTGCAATGTGTACATGATGACATACATTGGTATATGTAATTATTCCCCATTACGATAAGGTGTTCGTGTATCACCAATCAATAACATGTACATGGCCATATAATGACGCACCATAATACAGTATATGCTTTATATTTATAGTAAATGACAACTCAATAGTTCGTTTATATAGAATAGTGCACACTAATACAGTATATATTTTGTATTTATAGTAAATGACAACTCAATAGTTCGTTTAGATAGAATAGTGCACAATAATACAGTATATGTTTTGTATTTATAGTAAATGACAACTCAATAGATATATACTACTTCACATTAGCTATAGGAGATGTATAACATAGATTTAGCTACTGAAGGAGGTTAGATACATGTACATAAGAGTGGTCACTAGGAAACCTTACTTGTTTCAAAGTTACATATATCGAGATGACCCGAAGCGATGTTATTCTATGTGAAAAAAATAAGCACCTGTCACATATCGTTCAATGTTTTTTCAATGCTTACATAATAAGAACATTTAAAACTAATTTTACAGTTTGAATCTCTCGAACACGTTATACACGCTACAGCAGTTGAGTCAAGGAAGAAAACATCGCGAGAAAAGTTTGGCATGATCTTTTGTTTCGCTTGGATTTGAAACTTTTGAAACTTTTATCCAAATATAAAAGCTTGAAAGTAGTTCTTTTCTCGCTACTCATTTAACTTCCAAAAATATCTCCCTCGTGAAGGGCAAGGACAAAGGTCGAATTCACGGTGTTCACTGTATTTATACATGCGCCTCAATTTCATATCTAACTTTCAGCTCAGATTTCTATTCATAAACTTAAAAATCACCATATAGACATATCATACGCAATTGTATTGATACTGAATTGTGGAATAAAATTGAAGTGTTTGTTAAAAGTACTACTTTGTTTGCCAATCAGCACGCGACAACACGCTGTTTCAACTATTGAACGAATTTGTGTGGAATGTCGTGGAATAAGGCGGGAATTTTAATTTTAAATATAGACTGTAAGTTAAAAAAGAACATAAGAGGCAGAGAAAACGTGAATATAAGTATTGAACTATTTTGTATGGTATTTATGATCTATTTGAATGACACAGCTTTGCAAGCAAACAAATCATAATGCGCGCACGCATTATGTTGTTTGCTTGTAAAGCTGTGTCATTCAAATAAATCATAAATACCATACAAAAACAGTTCAATGCTTAATTAACATACTCATTAGCTACTTTATGCATTTGATGTTTATATACTCTTGCTTAAATATTTTCTAGACATGTATGTCATAATGTGTTTGAATATCTATACACGAAGAGTCATTAATCGCAGAATCAAAATTACTATATATGTATGCTTTTATAGATTTTCATTAATCTCATTATTAAATTCTTTTCTTCATTTTTCTATTGTTGACTATGTGCCATTTTTCTGTATCTACTTAGAAATAGACTCAAAATTTAAAATTTTATAGCTTTGATAGTATTATTTTCTTTGTTCTTTCAATTTTCTAAATTTTGATCATCTCTATTTTAACAAATAATTTAGACATTAAAGGGGAAACATCTGGTGTGAAAATAAAACTTTGAGTTTCTATTGTAACAAGCTACAGAACCTTTTAAGTAGAATCCCTGGTCAGATTTGCTATCAAAGCAAACTACAAAAACATTTCAATCAGTAAATAAATACACAATATCCTGCATTTGATAAAGCCTGCTCATAGAAACAATCGGAGTCTCACAAACAAAATATTCCCTCCGTTCTGTTCTATATTTGGAAAGATACTTCTCTATGCAGAAAAAGGCCGTTGACGAATCATTTGTGTAAACCACACAACTACATTGTTAGGGAGTTAAACCCGGCATTGGGTCCATTGGGTTAAGATCTAGAGCAGCATGCTGCTGAAGGAGATACGTGTACTCAAGGTGCCCCACTAGTAATACAAAGGACAAAATGCTTATTAAAACAAATCGAAAATATCAGATAGGCATTCCCCCCAAAAATAAAACATAGTTGGAAGCATACATTATATTATTCTCCGTATTTCTAGTTATTACTTACTGTCACTAAATTTCATTGCAGTGTCACATAAGCGAAATAAATTGCACGAGTTATCTCCCTTCCTACAGCGTTTGACTGTTACACGAATCAATTCCAAGCTGTTGCCGACACCAGTCTGAAAAAGGTCGGATGTACACTATCGGGCTAATTAATATGGGATTTTATGTGTTGATTTATTTATTTATTTATTAACATCTTTATGTTGGCATCTCCAACCCCAAGGGCACAAAACAACTTTATTGCATTGAAAATAATTGAGAGTATGTTCAAATTATAAAAAGTCGAAAGTGCACTTATAACTCAATACAACCGAAAACGTGAATAAAATAACAAGTTTTTATAGTCGTTAATGCTCCAAAGACTTGATGATTTAGATACACAGACCGACTTAGCCAATGGTGACACATTGTTTTAAGTGTACCTACGTCTATCTATAATGGTTGAAGTAACATCAAACCCGGCGTCTTGAAATTGAAGTGTATACCTTTATGGCGTCTGGGATTTCTACATGCGGTGAAGTAATTATTAGCTAGACGAAAAACTACGAAGATCAATGGGATTTGTATGTTTTCATGACAACATTCCACACAGACATTGGGGAATTTGGGTTTCGACATATATACATTGAGCAAACTAAGTAATTATTGGGGTTAAAAAAATAGATTTATTTACATATATATATGTTGTACCTACACTCTTACAAATTTCTCCACTGACAATGTTCAAATAGAATTTAAGTTTCGTTCACGCCATACTTTGAATAACTCTGTCAGCGGATTTTTAGAAAACAGCACGAGAAGACTGTTGAAAGCGTTCATCAATTGTAAATATTTTTATTTCCTTTTTTATTTTATTTTATTTACGTACAAAAGAGGAAAATGTATAGCATAGCTAGTTGACCAACGTAGTTATTTACAGCATACACGTCTGTACATTTTGTAATAATAAGCATGAAAAATATTTACATAAATATATAAATATTTACAAATTTCATAAAAGTTTCAATGCATTCTTTTGTTAAAGAACATAAATCAACATGTAAAACAGCAACGCATTAGTGACTGATATGAGTCCCACTACACATAAACATACACAAAGCATATGTGTATTTCAGACATTTGTAACGAACCCCTGTGCTCCGTCGCAAGATCACTCACTTCAAATGCTGCCAGTATCATGCGTCTCGCAGTCACAGTTTCCTCAGTTTCTGACGACATGTCAAATAACGAGGCTGTTGTAGAATCTTCCGACTGTAGTCAGATTCCCATACAATCAACAAATATTCACGCCTGGATTCTTCACAAATTCGAACTTTTCTCTCTCCTCATTTAACTTCCAAAAATAACTCCCTCGTGGAGGGCAAGGACAAAGGTCGGATTCACGGTGTTCACTGTATTTATCCAATCGAAACAATTTCATATCTAACTTTCACCTCAGATTTATATTGATAAACTTAAATCACCCTATAGACATATTATACGCAATTGTATAGATACTGAATTGTGGAATAAAATTGAAGTGTTTGTTAAAATTTCAAAGAACTACTTTGTTTGCCAATCAGCACGCGACAACACGCTGTTTCAACTATTGAACGAATTTGTGTGGAATGTCGATAAGGCGGGAATTTTAATTTTAAATATAGACTGTAAGTTAAAAAAGAACATAAGAGGCAGAGAAAACGTAAATATAAGTATTGAACTATTTTGTATGGTATTTATGATCTATTTGAATGACACAGCTTTGCAAGCAAACAAATCATAATGCGCGCACGCATTATGTTGTTTGCTTGCAAAGCTGTGTCATTCAAATAAATCATAAATACCATACAAAAACAGTTCAATGCTTAATTAACATACTTATTAGCTGCTTTATGTATTTGATGTTTATATACTCTTGCTTAAATATTTTCTAGACATGTATGTCATAATGTGTTTGAATATCTATACACGAAGAGTCATTAATCGCAGAATCAAAATTACTATATATATATGCTTTTATAGATTTTCATTAATCTCATTATTAAATTCTTTTCTTCATTTTTCTATTGTTGACTATGTGCCATATTTCTGTATCTACTTAGAAATAAACTTCAAAATTTAAAATTTTATAGCTTTGATAGTATTATTTTCTTTGTTCTTTCAATTTTCTAAATTTTGATCATCTCTATTTTAACAAATAATTTAGACATTAAAGGGGAAACATCTGGTGTGAAAATAAAACTTTGAGTTTCTATTGTAACAAGCTACAGAACCTTTTAAGTAGAATCCCTGGTCAGATTTGCTATCAAAGCAAACTACAAAAACATTTCAATCAGTAAATAAATACACAATATCCTGCATTTGATAAAGCCTGCTCATAGAAACAATCGGAGTCTCACAAACAAAATATTCCCTCCGTTCTATATTTGGAAAGATACGTCTCTATGTAGAGAAAGGCCGTTGACGAATCATTTGTGTAAACCACATAACTACATTGTAAGGGAGTTAAACCCGGCATTGGGTCCATGGGGTTAAGATCTAGAGCAGCTTGCTGCTGAAGGAGATACGTGTACTCAAGGTGCCCCACTAGTAATACAAAGGACAAAATGCTTATT